ACTTTTTCCCGGAAAGGGCATGAGCCCAGGGTTCTCTTTTAGTAGGTAAACCTGTCCCCCGGTGCCAACTTGAAGGAGGCCGGCGAATTTTTTCCCTGATAAATAACGAGGTCGAAGGAGGCCGGCGAATTAAAATTTGAGGATGTCTCGAGCGAAACGCTTGTTTTTGAAATCCCGATCGATAAATCACAGGGTGCGGGCCACTTTTTCGTGTGTTGAGGATGTCTCGAGCGAAACGCTTGCTCCGCAGAGTTTGCCGAGGATGTCTCGAGCGAAACGCTTGTTTTGCAGAGCCGACCGCGACGCGGAAAAGCGCCCCGCGCGAAGGAATTTCGATGATGTCTCGACTAATTCCTTTGTTTTTGTACGATTTCCTGGAATTTTGGCAGGATGTCTCGAGCGAAATGCACGACCCCACCCTAGCACGACCATACCCCAGCACGACCACACCCCAGCACGACCAGACCCCAGCACGACCCCACCCCAGCACGACCCCACCCCAGCACGACCATACCCCAGCACGACCACACCCCAGCACGACCCGACCCCAGCACGACCCTACCCCAGCAAGACCACACCCCAGCACGACCACACCCCAGCACGACCTCACCACAGCACGACCACACCCCAGCACGACCACGCCCCAGCACGACCACGCCCCAGCACGACCACGCCCCAGCACGACCACGCCCCAGCACAGCACGCCCCAGCACGACCACGCCCCAGCACGACCACACCCCAGCACCACACCCCAGCACGACCACACCCCAGCACGACCAGCACCCCAGCACGACCCCACCCCAGCACGACCCCACCCCAGCACGACCCCACCCTAGCAAGACCACACCCCAGCACGACCACACCCCAGCACGACCTCACCACAGCACGACCACACCCCAGCACGACCACGCCCCAGCACGACCACGCCCCAGCACGACCACGCCCCAGCACAACCACCCCCCAGCACGACCACCCCCCCAGCACGACCACACCCCAGCACGACCACCCCCCAGCACGACCACACCCCAGCACGACCACTCCCCAGCACGACCACACCGCCTTGGTTGAGTGGTTGCCTGTCGTCGTGGAATGTTTCGTGGGGTGTCTCGTGGAATGTTTCGCGGGGTGTCTCCTGGAATGTTTCGTGAGGTGTCTCGCGGAATGTTTCGGAATGTTTCGTGAGGTGTCTCGTGGGATGTTTCGTGAGGTGTTGCCCCGTTGGGTATCGTGAAAACGTGCCCATGCTCCACATGTCTATATCCCTTTCCGGGTTCGTGGGTCCATCATGTTGTCTAGAGGGCGCATTGCCTTTTCTAGTTCTCCGTCGCGACCATGGCAGCCAGCATACGCCTGACAAGAATACATGACACAGCTTGTTTTCATCCGTTGGGGGCACGCAATTATGGCAGCCACGCTGCCCGCTCCCCCCCTCCTTCTCCTCCTCCTCCTCCTCCTCCTTCTCTTCCTCCGCCTCCTCCTTTTTTCAAATGCAACCTTACAAGTAGGCGGCAAGCCGACCATCGTCCCCAAGTCTCGACCGATCGATCCTCCTCCTCCTCCTCCTCCTCCTCCTCCTCCTCTCCTCCTCCTCCTCCTCCTCCTCCTCCTCCTCCTCCTCCTCCTCCTCCTCCTCGTCCTCCTCCTCCTCCTCCTCCTCCTCCTCCTCCTCCCTCTCCCCCCCTCCTCCCCCTCCTCCTCCCCCTCCTCCTCCTCTTCTTCTTCCTCCCCCTCTTGCTCTGGCGAATCGCGAATTTTCGCCCCGAATTTCGGTCACGTTCGCAGGACACACGTTCTGCTTGCAACCGTAGCTTCGGTCTCTAGGCGGAGGTCGACGAGAGACCCAAGACAATGACGGCCCAAGAGGCGCGCTCAAGACGGCCCACGCGGGCCCATTCAGGGCCCCAAGATGGACCACAGATGGGGAATTTCAGCTGTCATGAGGAGCCCTCGGTCCCCAGAAGGTCTCCGAGGCAGCCATCAGGCCCCCAAACGGCCGCCAAGAGGCCACCAAGAGGTCCAAAAAGGAAGCCCAACACGCCTCCAAAGAGGCTCAGGAGGCTTTCAAACTGCTGGGGATGCTTTCGCGCCCCCCAAGAAGGCATTTACGATTCCTGACCATGACCCCTAACAACCCGCCAAAAGCCTTCGGAAGAACGGGTGGCCCACCCACAGGGTACCGGGAGACTCCAACACGCCCCAGGAGGCTTGTAAGCGAAAGCTGCTGAGTTATGGCCCTAAAGGCCCTAATTTCTGCCGACCTTGAGGAGGAGGAGGAGGAGGAGGAGAAGGAGGAGGAGGAGGAGGAGGACGAGCAGGCGGAGGACAAGTGTAAGCCCAAGACTCATCAACGATGTTGCAATGCACCATCCCTCCACGTTCCCTCTTCATAGAGTGAAGTGCCCCGTTGGAGGACAACCGCTGAAGATCCTGCACCGTGCCATAACACCACTGCTGTAAACTCAGCGCCGCGAATCAACGTTATTGTTGCGTCGGACGATCCTGAAACACACCAGAACGCCATAACTGGGATTATAACACCGCGAATCAGCGTAATTGCTGCGCCCTGACAGTCCTACATCGTGCCAAACACCATTTCGCGGACGTTAGCTACAATAACCCTTGAAACTGTTGATGGCTCTTCAGACGAATTTGTGCGGCGCTAAAGCGGGAGCCACATGTTGAAGAGGTACCGCCCTCCATCCGTGAAGTTCCTGCAAATGTTTGGGACGAATGTGCGCGGCGCTGAGGCGAGGCCACATTTTGACAAGGTACCGCCTCCATCCGTGCAGCTTGTGTAATCTTTGAAGACGGCTGTGCGCGTCGCCGAGGTGAGAGCCACATTTTGAAAGCGACCCACCCTCCGTCAGCATAAGGATCTTAAGTGGGGAGGAAGCCTCAGGCGAAACACCCGCCACGCCCCACCGATACGTCTCGGGGCGCGACAGGGAGGAGTTATTATCGGGAACATGGACGGTGAAGGGCGGGCAGGAGGAGTGGGAGGAGGGATGGGGGGAGGAGCGACATTTTCAGCGTTTGCTGGACGACTCGAAGCTTGCATTGGCACAGCCTTTCACAGCCTTGGGACATGAATCGCCTAATGAATAACATCTGCAAACGCCTCACGCACTCCATCAGCACCCCTCCGCCACTGGCCCACGGCACTGAGCACGCCATAGCCACTGAATGAGCGCCTGCACGAACAATTGTTTTGCAACACCCCATGCAATGCATCATGACTCCTGATCTGCCAGATCAGCTGGACGGAGGGGAGGAGGAGGGCCGAGGAGGTGGAAGCCAAAGAGGCGGGTGAGGGGAAGAAGGAGGAGGAGGAGAAGGAGGAGGAGGAGGAGGAGGAGGTGGATGAGGAGGATACTGATTCAGGACCTCGTGCTTTCTCGCCTCCGACCTGATGCCCCTGGGTGACCGCGGCGCCCATGTACGTTCTGATGCCGAGGTCGCCCCGCAGATTTTGACACTCGGGTGCCGATGCAGTTTTGAGGCCGAGGTTCTCATGTGTGTTGAAATAGATGTGCGTGCCCATGCGAGTTTCAAGACCGAGGTGCTCATGTAGATTCCAAGGCTGAGGTGTCAATGCGAATCCTGAGGCCAATGTGTCCCAAAAAGGCCGCACGACCGCCTCGAGACAGCTCCAGAAACGAAGAGGACGCTACTGGAGTCCGAGTGTGCATGGGTGTCTGTGTGGGGATTGACTAGACATTGAGCGCGCTCGAAAAGCGCGCGATGGTTTTAGTACATATATGCGTATGTGGATATGTACATACCTTGTGTTATATATATATATATATATATATATATATATATGCAAATGTGTGTATCTACGTATGCATATGACAGGGGATCCCATGGGGCTTGGTAAGCACTGGTTTCGAAACGCTCCAATGTTGTAGGCACTAATCAAATTCAAGATTTCATTTCTCTGGCCAGGAGAACTTTTTATTCTTAGAATGTGCGTAGAGCTTCCGATTGCTATGTGGGATGTTCGAAATTGCACGGGTCCAGAATTATCGGTGTCTGTTTCGCCTGAGTTGCATAGTCGTTGGTCTTGGTTGAGTTCGTAAATCTCAAACATAATAAAGCTTTAGACGGTTAGAACTTAAGGATTACCACAGGAGCATGTTCAATATATTCGTAATTAAATTACGTTCCTTGCATGTCTGAGTCAATTGATTCGAGATTATCATGGCTCTGGGTTTTCAGGCTTCTTGGCCATCTGGGCTGCAGATTCCTGGCTCCTGGACGTCGAAACTGCAGATTCCTGGTCTTCACGGGGTTCCTGTTCTCATGGGTTGCAGGAGGATGAAGAATCATGAGGAGGAGGGGGAAGACGAGGAGGAACATGTGGTGGTGCAGAAGAAGAAGGAGGAATAACAGAGGGAGAAGGAGTGTAATGAGGAGTAGGAGGTGGGGAGAGGGAAAGGGGAGGAGGGGAAGGAGGAGGAGGATGAGGAGGAGGAAAGGGAGGGTGTGAAAGCGAGAGTGCTGGATAGCCCAGCGTTTGCCCCTCGTCTCACTTGTTTCTTATCCGTAAACATTGCGGCTCCCAGGGCCCTTGAGTCTCAGGCGACATACGGAAAATATCAGCGCCTATCTCAGAAGTTGCATCTTCACATTGGTAGCAGGAGCTGTTCGACCCATGGACACGCCTTCGCAACATCGAAGAGAAGCAGCTCGCAGCATCGAGAGAAGCAGCTCGCAGCATCGAGAGGAGCAGCTCGCGGCACCGAGTTCGGCGGACAGACCGCCACACGTTAACAAGTACGAGGCCGGCGATTTACAGGGAGATCTACAGCAGGACCGGCAAGGATGGCGCCCAAGGTGGACCCGTCCGAGGAAGCAGCAGAGGGTGAAGAAGGACGTGCCCAGCAGCAGGGAGGACCACACGTTCCAGCTCCCGCCTTCGACCCACAGACGACGACGATGAAGGATTACAGGAGGCGAGTGGCGATATTCAAGATAAGGACCAGACTGCCCCTTGAGAGGCAGGCCGCTGAGCTCTACGCAGAACTGAAGGGCGACGCCTGGATTCATGCAGAGGACCTCGACCCGACGGAGCTTCAGAATGACGAAGGGGTCCAAACGCTCCTCGATTTCCTAGCATATAAGTTCGACGACGAGAAGGTGATGGAGCTTGGGTCCGAGCTCAAAACTTTCTTCACACGCATGCGCCGCGACAGCGGCGAAGAGATCAGGGTTTTCATCAACCGCTTCGACACGCAGGTCTCGAGACTTAAGACAATGCATATTGAGTTCCCAGATCAAGCGCTGGCGTGGTTGCTCATGTGGTGGCTTGGCCTGCCGCCAAATCGAGAAGCTGGAGTGCTGAACGCCATTCAGAATAAATACGAGCTCAAGCCTTTACAAAAGCAGACGTTGCTTAACGTGCAGGACGCCAAAGCTTTGGACAAACACAGACCCCGGAGGCCAGCGCCCATGACGCCACTAGCGCCCAGAGGTCCGCCAGCACGACCTCGACGATGGGGAGCTCACATCACCGAGAACGACGAACAGGAGGACCTCGAGGTGTACGAGACCCAGGTAGACGACGATGACCTGCCGGAGGAGTTAGTTGAGGAGCACGAGGATGCGGAGGCCGAAGTTTAGAAGTTGGAGAAAATGCTCGCCCGAGCGAAGGGCAGGCAAAAAGAAACCAAGCAAACTAAATATGTTATCATAGAGATCGGCTACTTGGGTGCGGACCTGGTAAAGGACCTGGCGGAAAAGGCAGTCCTGGAGGCGGCAAGGGGCCCGGCGGCGAGGGCTCGGACCGCGTCAAGAAGCTAAGGGCGAGGACCCTTTGCGCAGCGCGCCGGAAGCTGAGGCACTGGAACGGCGACCCCGAGTGTACAGGAGCGCCAAGTAGGGCGCGCATGGCGACTGCCGACGACCATGACGAAGACGACCAGCGATCAGAGCAGTTTCCCACGAGCTGGAGTAGCAAGGAAAAACATATCGAGAAGCAGACGTTCTTCATCAACAACCGCGTGCTGATGACCAGCACGGGCAGCGTGAACGTCATCACGGCTACGAAAGAGGAGCTGCTGCAGCAGTGCGGCGGCAAACTGTTACCAGACTCGCGCTGCGCCAAGTCCGTTGGAGGACAGGTTTGGCATGGCGACATCAAGAAGCGGCTCGCGAAGGTGGGTCTCGAGCCGATCGAGTTTGACGAACATGAAGTCTTCAGGCTCGGCGCTGGAAAGCCAGTCGCGAGCACGATTGGAGCGCTGGTGCCGCTCGCAGTGCGCGGACGTCCCTTCGCGCTGAGAACATCCACCGTGCCGTGCCTGGCCCCCGCGCTGCTGTCGCAGAAAGCTCTTGGTCAGCTGGGAACAGCGCGCGACCGTGAGGTGGAGGCTGGCGAGAGCGCCATGACGTTCAGGAAGCTGGGAGTCTCCAACCTCGACCCCGGGCAGACCAAGAGCGGACGCTCGAGTTTCGACGTGCTGGAGCTCGACAGGGCTCACATTTTTACCATGGCTCCAGACGTGGGCCCCGGCCAGACAGAGATCAGGCTGCTTCCGCCATCGCAGCGCCGGTGGGAAGAACTCGAGAGGGGCCCCCATCATCATCGCTCGCAGGGGCATCACGCTATGGGGGCCTCCCAAGAACATGCACGAGATAATCCTAGTGGGCCTCCAACGGGATCCCAATGGGCCCCGCGTCAAACAGCCAAGAGCGACCCGAATCACGAGGAGCCAAGCTTCAACATCATGAGGGATCCGAATCAGTACGAGGTAAACTTCAACGACTGCGAGAGCGATCCGAATCACTGCGAACTAAACTTCAGATAGCCTCAGGAGCACCCCAACGAGAACCCTGCGCGGACCAGTTTCGGGAAACGGACAAGCGCGACGAAGCGCAGAAACCCACGCAAAAACAGCAAGCACCAGCGCCGGCAAAATGCGCGCGATTCCACATAACGGACGATGATGAAACAGTTCGGCCTCAGCCGAATATGGTTCAAAACGTTTCAGGTGATTCTCAAGATCAGCGTTCCCATTCATGTGCGGATGACTCCCAGCGCGCTGGGATGGATCCAGGGTTGGGGCGCCCCCTATGTCAGCGCCAACAAGAAGTGCAACACCGTGGCGCGGATGCGCTGGAAGCAGATTTTCAAGCTGGCGTTCTTAGCCATCGCGATGACCAGGCACCCGGCGGCGGCCATCATCTTCCACAACGGGCGCCGCCACGGCCAGGAGGGGATCCTCGAGAAGCATGCCGAGGCACCAGCCCCCAGACGACTCACACCATTGGGGACTATGGTCAAGGTGGAGTTGCAGGAGGAGATGGAGAGCAACGGGCTGGAGTTCCAAGGCCTGGGCTGCAGAGAGATGCGCGTGATCCTCAGCGAGCAGCGGATCGAGAACGGCCAGGGCCGCAGAGGAGCTCGAGCCGCAGATCCAGAACTCCGAGGACTCGCCAAGAAGTCACGAGCAGAGTTGGCCCAGCTGGCCAGGAAACGCAACGTGAAAGCTACCGACGACATGCTCAAGGACAAAGTCGCGTGTTTGTTGTTGGGGCAGACACCGAAAACAGTCAAGAAGGAAGAGACCAAGGACGAGGTACCGCTGCTTACGACTTCGATGGTTGCTTCAGCGACCAGAAGTGCCTCCTTGGCCTGTCGGAGCTCAGGAAGGGGGCAACGAGCAAGACCAGTGGTGCCACAGCCTTCGGAAGACTCAGAGAGCGACGAACCGCCAACCAGGAGAAGGAGCTCATCGATCAGCGACGTGGCTATTGCAGCAGAAGACACCGGCGTAGAGGAGGACCAGACTTGGGAGATGATAGTTCCGAAGGGGAAGAGCAGGAAACAGTGGGGAAAAAAAGCGCAAGACGAAGCCAGGGCAGATCAAGCGATACAAGGACATGATCAAGAATATCGTCAGCTCCCTTACGTGGCAGACCGCGTTCCTCGGCACCTCCCCGGCGAAGCCGCTCTTCTCGGGAGGCAAGGCTATCGTGCAAGATCTCGGCGACGTGTTCAACGTCCAGACCGACCCGAGCTACGACTTGACGCAGATCTTCGCGGGTGAGGCCGTCATCTCAGAGGAGTTCAGTCGAGCCGGACTCGAGGTGTGCGAGCCCATTGATCAAATCTACATCTACAACCTGCGGAGCGCCCAAGATCGGCGAGATATTCTACAGCTCCACCGCACATGCAGGCCGAAGCTCCTCACGTTGGAGTACCCCTGCACACTCTGGGCACAACATGCCAGAGCGAACTATCGAGGCGAAGCTAAACAACAACAAATACGTCGCCAGCGTCTTCGAGATCGTCCCCTACTAGACTTCGTGGAGGAGATCGGCATGATGCAGCTGAACAGCAAGCGAGACCTCCTGTTCGAGAATCTTTTGACGTCGGAGGTATTCCAGCAGTCCCTCCCCGGGTGGACGAGGTGAAGGTCGACATGTGCCAGTTCAACCTACGACGCCAGCAGTCTAACGGAATGGTCAAGAAGCCGACGAAGCTCTTGGTCTCTAATGACTCCCACGTCAAGCGGCTGAGCAGGCAATGTGACGGACGTCGCCCGCATCACCAACTGGAAGGCGTTCGCAATACACGCATGGCAGGGCGATGCACCAGAGAGTTCGCGAAGGCAGTCTTGCAAACATGCCAGCATAGCAACATGACCTACATGATGGAGAACGGAGTCTACGCGACCGGCAACTTGATGGATCCTATGGGCGGCGAGTCGGACGAGTGGCTCTATTGCGACAACGTGGGCCGGTAAAGTCGCCCACGTTCTCGAAGTAGACCTCGAGACCGACGCGGCGGTGCAGGACTTCGAGAAGGCCGATATCACCACGGATTTGATCAAGCCGAAGTTGGATCGCACTGCCAAGCTGAAGATTCAGCTATGGTACAAGCAAGAACCTGTTGCAGAGGACACTGGAGCCAACGCCATCCAGTTTGGACCTGGAAGTTCAGAGTGCTCAAGCAAGGACCTCGCAGCTCCACGACAACTGCACCAGAACGCGGGCCACCCCAGCAACGATAATATTGCTGGATCGTTGAGATTTTCAGGACGCAGACCAGAGGTAGTGAAGGCCGCGAAGTCACTACGATGCGCGACGTGCATGAGCAAGGTGCGGAAGAGCATCGCGACGCCAGCTAGACTTTCCCACGCAGCCGACTTCAATGAACAGATTGGTTTGGATTGTTTTACGATCAAGGATGTGGACGGTCAGTCATGGGAATTCTTATCAGTGGTGGATTTAGGTGCGACGTTTCACGTTGTGGGCATAATTGAAAGTCATCTTTCGGAAGTCTTGGTTAAGGTATTCACTCAGATATGGGCGAGTTGGGCAGGGCGACCAGCAAGTGCAGTCGTGGATTTGGAGCGTGGATTTGGTTCGGTCGTTCAGGATATGCTTGATGAGTTCCATTGCGCGGTCGTTCCAGTGGCCGGTCAGGCAGCGTGGCAACGCGGACGGACTGAACGCCAAGGAGGCTGGTGGAAGGAGTTGGCCGGGGGAACCATTTCGCACACCGCGGCCTCAGGTGGGGCCGACATGCGCATCATCGCTTCCGTGGTCACGGGGGCCAAGAATGCACTGCGACGTCA